GGTTGTACGATTCACACCATGCGTCAGACGATACATATACATGGTATACATCGAACGAGTTTCAACTTCCGAGATTTAGATCTGGATCTGCTCGACTGCGGAGCTGACTGCGAAGAACCATGTATAACATGCGGGCATGGGCTTGGCGTATTGGCGTGAGGCGCATAGCATAGGATACAGCGTACTGGTACGACGAGAGAGGATGACGATGATGATGTGCAGCGGGTGGAGTGAAGGGGGATTTGTCGGGTTTACTCCCGGACGGGCGCATCGTGCTCGACAGCAAGGATCGCCTGCCTCTTCTCCGCAACACGGGCAGCACGACGCTCGCGGGCCGCCTAGAGGACGATGAGACGGTGGAAAGGGAGAGAAAAATAAGGTCGACTGCGTACCTTGTTCTTGACACGGCGGGCCTCCATCTGGTCGGTAAGGACCTTGGTGCGGGTCTTCTCGGCCTTAGCCTTGTGGATGTACTCCATGAGGACACGCTTGTTCTTGAAGACGTTACCCTTCGACTTCTGGTAGAGGGAGTGGTAGCTAAACCGAGCCAGACGCGTGCATGAGAGGGCTTGACCGCACTGAGACAAGATACGGACTCACAGGTGCTTGTCAATCTTGCCCGCTTCCCTGTACTTCCTCAACAACCGACGCAGGACCCGCTGCCTCCTCATCCACTGGACCTTCGTGGGCATACGAGCATCGGCGGTACCCTTCCTCTTACCGGGGCCGGTGTGGCGACCCTTGCGCTTCGCAGCAAGAAGGTCCCGAGTGCGGGCGCGTGAGTGGACGGTGGTGGGCTTGATGATAATGCGGCCGTCCTTGATGAGCTTCTTTACGTGCGTGCGCGAGTTGGCGTTGCCGATCTCAGCCTGCTCGTTGGGGTCGAGCCAGATTTTTCGCTTGCCGACGCCAGCGACGGATGCGGCAAGGCGCTTTTGGGACCGGAGGTTGACCATGGCGTCTGAAAAGCGGGGGGAACGACGAGCAAGACTTTTAGGATGACAAGGTCCCTGTCGTTGTGAACGCCGACGAGCTCACCTTGTTCTTGAGGAGGGTCGATAGGGAGCGATGGACACACCGATGGCGGAAGGAGGGAGGCGCTTACGTGAGGCAAGCCACTCGGGAACAGCCGAAACTCTATCAGAGGAGCTGTATAGTTCCGGCACCTCGGGAAAGATCGATTACGATGCGGGCTTGATGTTGTTCGTCTTGCGTTCTATCCTCGCCGCGAGGGCTGGTGAGGCTGCTGGCGACTTGGGCATCCTCCGGCTAACAGGCTCCGCGCTCCTCTTTCGGTCAATCTTCATCATCTCATCTCATCGTCCGACGTCATGATATCTCGGGTCTCTCCTGCCTCCGCCTTGCAATATGTTAGCCACTGCTTCGGAAGTCTCGAGCGCATTCCACTCTGTCAGCTTGCCGTCACTGGTCAGCAGGCTCTCTGTGCCATACTTAGAGTTCAAGCCTGGTTCAAGCATAATCGAAAATATCCCGCAGGGTCCAGACGTCCTGCCGACAGGAGTGATGTCTCGATTGGTCTGGAAGGAACAAGTTTCCGAGTGTGCGTATCCGAGTGCCTCCGACGCTGACCGACCAGCTTCCACCGACGGCGACAAACGATCGCGTTTGCTCCTCAACAGGGCAATCATCCTACTGCGCGTTGGGGTCTCGCACGCGATATGGTGGATGGGAAGCTCTGCGCTTGGTGTTCGGAGCCTGTCTGCGAGCGTCTGACGTGCTTGAGAGGGGCAGTCACGCAGGATGGGCCAATCAAGTGGCGTCTGGGAAAGATGCTGCCCGGTGCTATAGCGAAAAGCCCGCTTACGTGCGAGTCGTTATCTCGGCAGCTCTCTGGTGGGCCATCATGTTCGCTGTATACTGTACCGTGGGGGACGAGTGTAGCTCGGAAAAAGGAACGGCTTCTATCAGAATTGTGGCAGGGAGTAATCAAGCAGTTACGATTCACGAGGCGGTTGTGAGACAGACGTCCGCTTGATCACCTCGTGTGCGGTGAGAAGAGCATGCAGAGCCCGATGGCCACGGCGACGCGATGTCTGGGGCAGAGGAGGAGACCGCGCGAGGCCGAGGGCGTGAGTTTGGAAGTCTTTCAAACGTGGCCCGCAGCGCGAATTCTAGCTGGCCCAAGTGTGGCCTGACTGTGGCAGCGCTGCAGTGCTGAGCGGGACGCGCGCAGGGGCGAGTTCGGCCGCACGTTGGGTCTGACGCGCGATTTGCTGCTGGCGGAACAGAGGCTTATGTAAGCGACGGATAAAAACGAATACGAGTGGCGCCGTAAGAGGCCCTTTTGCTCCGGTTCACCTCCCTCAGTCCTTAGCTCAGCCCTTCCTCTCCTCCTCCGCATCGCACCAAGTCCCCCAGGGTTTGGTGAGAGGGCGTGCCCGCTCCCGCCCGCTCGCAACGCCTTTATTGTCCCCCCCAACAACACTTGCACAACGTGTCTCTCGTCATGATATCCCAATAAACACGTTTCCGCCGACAACGACTGCTCCATTCGCTCTCCAGCTCTTTAACCCTCCATCCCCTCCATCGCCCACAATCAGCGCTTCTCGCACGCCTACGATCACAATACACGCTCATAAATCACCCTTCATCTCCATGACCGACAACGACACGACTCAAGCTGAGGGCGAGGGTCCAGAGGGTTCAGATAAACCGCCGCATGGTATGTCATGCGTGTCTTCATCTCTCCTCTCCTCTCACCTGACATGCTTGATCTATTAGCCCAACCGAACGGAAAACCGCGTTCGCGCCGACCCTCCGGCCCAACCGTAGCCTCAAGTGGCGTCCCTGATCTAGCGCACGCGCACATCCCTCTGCCCCCTCCCGACTCTCACCTTTACGCAAAGCAGCCGGGCCACACCCGCAAGAGTCTTGAGGAGATGGCCCACTCTCAGCCACTTGACAAGCTTGTCATCAATGGTGCCCCCCACGTCAAGCACGACTCTTCCTCAACCACCGGTTCCATGACCACCTCCTCGAGCGAGTCCCCTTCCCCTTCCGAGTGCGAAAGCTGGAGTGTTCCATCTACCCAACCACCCAGCCGCGCCCCCAGCATGTCCGCGGGCGTGTCGGGGAACAAGCTCGCCCCTCCTGCTCCGCAAGCGTCCAAGCCCACTTCCAAGAAGGAGCAACCACCTCCCACGGCCCCGCGGATATCCCCGACTCCCTCCGCTGGGGACGACAAGTCCTCTCGCAAGGGTCCGCCCTCCAGACCTTCCTCTGTGCACTCCGATAGCGGCCAGAAGTTCACCCTCAAGGATCTTCTCGGCGCACAGAAGCTGGTGAGGAGATCCTCCGCGCGCTCCACAGGTAGCAGCAAGAAGTCAGACTCGGACCGGGGCGGACGCTCAGAAGCTGGTGCGAGTACCGTGAGCCTTCTGAAGAAGTACGGGGTCTGCGAGAAGGTGGCTATCGGGAAGGGCGCCACTTCCGTCGTCCGTCTGGCTCACAAGTGGGATCGTAGTGAGGAGAAGCTCTATGCAGTCAAGGTGAGTAAACCCGCACATTTTGGGCACCTCCATGGTTGCTGACCACGGGTGGTTTCGCGTGGTAGGAGTTCCGCAAGCGGAGAAAGAACGAGACAGAGAAGGAGTACGTCAAGAAACTCACGGCCGAGTTCTGCATTTCGTCGACGTTGCACCACATGAACGTCGTCGAGACCGTCGATCTTGTCCAGGACGAGAACCAGCATTGGTGCGAGGTCATGGAGTTCTGCCCCGGTGGTGACCTATATGCGGCCATCAAGCGCGGTGGGATGTCGCCCAGCGAGGTCGAATGCTGCTTCAAGCAGATTCTCACCGGAGTCGCATATCTTCATAGCCAAGGTGTTGCCCATCGTGACATCAAGCCGGAGAACCTCTTCTTTGACATGAGGGGCCACCTCAAGGTACGTGGAGGACTTCACTGATGCGTGACAGCATAAGCTCACCGGCTTGGGGAAGATTGGTGATTACGGTGCATCCACCGTCTATCGTCTTCCATGGGAGTCCACGATTCACATGTCCACCGGTCTCTGTGGCAGTGAACCATACATTGCCCCAGAGCAATTCCTAGGCAAACGTAAGCAAATGTTCTTGCTTCACCCGCCTTGATCGCCTAATGTTGGGGCATTAGCCTATGATGCTCGACTCGTGGATATCTGGGCGTGCGGCATCGTCTACTACTGCCTGCATTTCCAGGAGCTCCCGTGGACTGTGGCGCAGCCTACTGACCAGCTCTTCGCGGCCTACGTTTCCGCGTGCAATACCCCCACGCAGTCAGCTTGCCCACCGACGATCAACAACCTCTCACCCCGCGCATGTAGGCCAGTGATCCGAAAGATGCTCGAGCCCAACCCGAAGATGAGGTCGTTGATCGACGACATCATCAAGCAGCCGTGGGTGCAGAACATCGAGGTCTGCTACCTCGTCCAGAAGCCGTCGCACCAGCACGTCAACGCCGTCGCGATGGCGCAGGCGCAGGTGCAGGTGATCCCCTGATGCGCTTGTACTACGTACGTGTTCGGGGGCTGGCGACGACGGATGTTGCTCCCTCGGGCCCCCATGATCTTGACGTCTCTCCTGTCTTTTTGTCTTCCTCTGACTCGTGTTTATTGTCTCCCTTAGCTTTCCCTCTAGCTATTCACGCCCTTGATGTAGAAGTAGTACCTTCTCGCGTAGTAGTTCATAGCCACTGGGCCACCGCGCCCTTGTGGGTTGCGAATGTTACTTGCGATCTCCCCATGACACGGACGTTTGCCACTCCCTTGTGGGCTTCCTCGCTTGCTCATGCACATATTCTGGACTGGGCCACGACTCGTTGTAGTGATAATGACGCCTGTACCCTAATGGTTAGTCTAATACTACCGTTATGTATAACAAACACAGGAGGGCAAGGCGTCCTCGCAACATAAGGCGGAAACGGTTTCGGGCTGGTGTTGCTTAGAAGCTGCATATTTTGGCAAATTACGACATATTGTCTTTAGAACTGGCTTGCGCATATGCCCCGTGGCTGAGTTGGTTACAGCGTCCGACTGTTATTTAGAATGAGGCAATCGGAAGGTCGTGAGTTCGAGCCTCACCGGGGCAGTACTTTTACATGAATCTTTCCCTTCCTGCCACCCCGTCCTGAGCCTGAGCAAGTCCCGCTCGAAAACTAGGCATATTGTTCATCACACTTTAGCCATGATGGAGCGAATTCGTAACATGTTCAGCCATGGTGCTTCGGACGTAACGCCTCGTCCGCGTGGGCGGTGTGCTCGCCGGTCAGCCACAAGCTCGGAGCAGAGTAAAGGGCCGGTGACAAGCACAATACGTCCGTATAGAATGTCATAGCACCCCCTGCTGAAACGATACATAACAGACGCGTAGAGGACGAAAAGCTACCAGCAAACCACGCAAGGCGAGAGCCTTCTTCTGACCCCTGGGGAACCGCGTGAGCGACATCCTCTTCCCTGTCGAAGTTTGCAAGTTGGTCTTCGAACAACTGAGTTCTTCGATGAGCCAGACCAGCGCCACTTCGCGAGGGTTGTCCAGTTCCTCTCGACACTGCGCCATGAAAGCGGAGAGCCGATTTGAATCCTGTACAGGCCTTAGGAAGCCGCTCCGAATCGCCGCTGGGACGATGTCCGCGGTCCGGTTTGTGGGGAGCATATGCTGCATATGCATATGCTTGTCAAGCCACTGTGCGCATGGTCTGTACCTCGATACGCCAAGGGCCATCCTGGATGTCAATGCGGTACCACGACTCCTCCATCGAGGTTCGCCAAGCAACTTCCTCGAACTCGCGGAACCTGCTCACGGTCTTGAGGGGCAAGCCACTACCGCTACGGTACATACGAGCCTACCTGCCCAGCGATTGATGGCTTAGGACGGCCGCGTTCCTGCCCAGGGACTCGCCGCCACTCCTCCCGCGTGCCCTGGAGACCCTCGTATGGGCCCCGTGTGGGCGAGGAAAGACCTATCCTGCTTATCAGGCTCTTCGCGTCGGACGTGCTGACACGCTTGGCCATTGACATGATCAAGGAGGTTTCGTGCCGCGACGAGGGGGTTCATCCATTGCGTGTGGTCTGGTGGAGACGATGAAGATGAACTGCTCGAAACGCATGTCGACCTCGAAGACGTGCATTAGTAGTTAGTACAACGCGTGTGCATGTGTACCTTGTAGTTAGACCGTTTCAACGGGAGAATGAATGTGCCGTCGCGCGTACTAGTAATACGCCGGTCAACTTGCGGGAAGGCATGAGACCATTGTTTGTAACTTACTAGTCTGCGATCTTCATGCTGCTGTCTCGCTTGAGACATGTCCGATCACTCTCGACATCAAGCACCAGCACCAGATCATACCGGGCGAGCAACAGCGGTTGGATGTCGTCAGAAGAACATCGTGTCCATATGGTCAACGCAATAATGATACAGCAAAATGCCTAAAACGGATGGGTAACGAAAGCAGCGGGTATATGTGCGAACCAGATCCCAAGAGAAGAGCCAACGTGCGGGGCAGGCACGACTATTGGTACTTATCCTTGTATATCCACGCCAGCCCGACGTCGCTCGCGCCCTGCTTCACCTGCAAGAGAGAAGCCGGTCTCAGCATGCGTACATAGGCCGCGCAGAGAAAGAAAGAAGATACGTACGGCAGCGCGGTACCACTTCGCCGCCTCCTTCTTGTCCTTCTTGCAGCCCTTGCCGTGCTCGAGGCAGAACGCGAGCTCCTGCTGGGCATCTGGGTCTCCAAGTCGCGCCGCGACCCGATAATACTGCTGGAAGGACATCAGCACGCAAGCGCAGGATGGACATAGCGCGGAGTGTACATACCACAGCCATCTCCTTGTCCTTCTGAACGCCCCACCCGCGGAAGAAGCTCTGCCCGACCTCATAGATAGCAAGCACCAGCTCGGACTACACGCTCAAATGAGCCACGTACCACGAGAAAGGAGCGACGATCACACTCACCCTGACTGCACTCATATCACCCTGCTGCCCCTTCTCCATATCCGTAACCGCAAGCTCCGCCGCGCGCCTCAACCACTTAAACCCCGTCGCCTCGTCCTTCGCGCACCCCCATCCATGCCGCTGCGCGAGCCCCCACATGAGCATGCCCACACCGCACCCGCCGTTCAGCGTCGCGCTCTTCTCGAACGCCTGCGCCGACTCTGCAAGCCGGTTCTCGAGGTGGCACTTGATCCCGAGCTGGAGGTAGTCCTGCGGCGTCTGGGGATGCGTCAAGGCGGGGTCTTCTTCCTTGTGCCTGCTGCTCCTGCTCGCGGTCGACTTGGCGCGCTGCCGGCCTGGGGCTCCAGGCGCCGCGGGTGTTGTAGGCATGTGCGGGACATTGGGCGGAGCAGAGGCAGGGGCGGGGAAGGACGCTGGAGAGTGTGGGCCATGGATGGTCGCAGACGTCGGGGTGGGAGGGAGTTCGTAATAGGAGTAATTCGAGTATACGCTCGCCGAGGAGTTTATGCGCGGTGGCTGGCCGCCTATGCTTGTTGGGGTCTGTGCCTGGAGCGAAGACGAAGCATACGACTGCGCGGCGTTCGGTGATGGAGTGGGGGACGGGTAGGGGTTCGCATACGGCTGCTGTTCACGCATGGAAGCTGGGGAGACGGGCCGCGAGCCCGGCTGCGTCGAGGGACCTACTGCTGGTGAGCTGAGCGGGCTGGAGCCAAGGCGTGGACTCGCAGCAGCTGGTGGATGCTCATGCGATGTAGGAGAGGGCACGTTCCTCATTAGCACTTCGCGTTTGCGGTCCTCCGACTCGTGCCAATCGAGGTCCGACATGGGCTGCACCACCGGCCTCGAGAAGTTCAGGTTCGGGGCCTGCACACGCGAGGGCATGCGGCCGCCCTTCGAGGGACCCGGGACCTCATACTCGGGCTGCCAGGGCTCCGGGGTGGGCTGGCTCTCCGGGGCCGCGGAGACCACGACAGTGGGTAGATCTGGAACGTCAGGGGGGTCGTAGACTGAAGGTGGATCAACAACGCCGGACGAGCGCCATGTGTCGCGGTACCTGTTGGTTATCGAATCGAGGTCGTAGTTGGACGACGCAAGAGAATCGTGTGGTGCGCGGCCATGGAAGGGCGCGGTGGCCGAGCGTGCGTCCCAGGAGATGGTGCGCATGCTCCCGCCATCGTCGTAGTACGACCCTGCGGTGGCCGTCGAGCTTCGGAACTGTGTATGCAGGATGGGCGAATGGGGCGGGGGCAGTATGTTATTTGAGCCTGGGTGTCCTGTCTGTCGCGGAGGAGTTCCCGGAGGCTCGAGGTTGGCTGGTCTTTGCTTGTTGACCCTTCTTGACGACGTGCGGCGGATGAGGGTGTTGAGCGGTGAAGAATCGTGGAGATTGGGGGTAAGCTGGGAACCAGCCGAGGGCTCAGCCATGTTGTACGGCTCGTAGGGGATGGAGTATGCAGTGATGAGAGTGATCGTTTGAAGAGCTGTAGCGATCCATTATAACACCTTTACAGTGGTCGTTGCCAAGTAGATCTCTCCTCCCGATGCAACCGCGGCGCGACCACCGGTCACGTAACGCAGATCTGCACCGCTCTCGCCCGCAGCCCAGCCATATTCCGCTGCGCGGCGGTGGTCAGCCGTCAATATCACCAAGATTATCATGTTGAGACTGTTTCACGCAGCAGCGCACGGCGCGCGCGAGACCGCTCGCATCACATGGAGCAGAGTGCACGCTCGCATTAGAGGTGTAACTATGTAAGTAGTGTACGTGTGCAGTATCCAACCCGTCTACAGATACTTTTTCTTCTGCTTGAGCTCCGCGTACGGGTCCGGCTTCGGCATCTTGCCAAACCGCGGCTCGTCCTTCTTGAACGTGAACTTGTAGATGTGCGACACCGTCTCATCCCACTGTTCACGCCACATGTGCGCACCGCCTCCCCGAGCTCCGTCGAAACCGTACTGCTCTGCAAAGGCGCGGAAGTTGAATCCGAGCCGGTCCGACTCCTGGAACACAGGGATGTCGATGGGCTCCGTCGGCAATGACTGCGGGAGGACCAGGAGGACATAGCGGTGGTAAGGAGTACCGCGCTGCGGATGTGGTGGAACGTAGCGTGTGTGCGTGTCAAGAGGGACTGTGGGTGACTGAGTAGATGCGGAGAGGGGGATGTTAGGCCTAGGGGGGTTAACGTAAGTGAAGAGAAGTAGCGACCACACATAGAAGACTTACTGCATCCAGTGCAAGTACGTTGTGAACGACTGGCTCTCCATGTCGGGAACGTCCAAATCAACCATCAGCAAAGTGTACAGACGCGTGTCCGTATGGAACAGCGTCGTGTAGATCTCGGGCTGTCTCCTTGTCTGTCATGGCAGAATATGTGAGCCAGGTGCGGGGCCACGAAAGTAGCGATGTCGAGCACGCTACGGACGGGAGAGTAGGAAACGTACCTGCTCTGGCATCAAGAAGATACCGGGCTCGACCTGCTTGACCTTCCGCTTAACACGCGTACGCAAGTAGTTGTTCTTCGGAGGCGGCTCGAGGTAGCGGAGGCGCAAGTCAAACGAAGGGTGCAGCTCCGGAAGCATGTCCGGCACCACGTTCATCTGGTATATACGTTCCATCTATACCACCGTGTCAGCACACCGACTCTGACACAAGAAGACGCAACGTACCAGAAGGTCGAGGTCTCCCTCCTCCCTCCACTTCTGCTCGAGCAGGTGCCGGTATATCGGCTTGCTCATGTCCGCTACGTGCACGGTGTCACTCCAACCCACACGTTAGATCGTCTACAACAAATAGCACTCACCCATACCGTTCCTCGCCTTCCACCGCACGTCGGGCAGGTTCGCTTCGGCCTGAATCTCCAGCACGCGCACCTTCTCTCTCATCTCCTCCAACGCCTGCGCGTCCCTCTCGCCCTCAGGCTTGGCCTCCTCAGCCTTCACCTTCGCCTGCAGCTCCTCTAGCTCCTTCTTCACAAACGCAGCATCACGCAAGATGTAGCGCAGGGCATAGTCATATGCTGGCTCGACGCCCTTCGCAATGGGCCGGCACCACTCCCTTGGCCGCTCCAACGAGATGGACGGCCTCCGTGTCGGCCACTGGCGCTGCTTGCCCTTCGGCTGCTCGGCCTGCTCGGACGAGGCGGGCTCTTCTGGGGCAGTCTCCTTCTCCTTCGCTGGCGTAGCGGTCTTCACTGTCACGGGGGGAGGCGGGGGCGGCACGCTTGCCTGCGTCGAGGCCGCTTCAAGCGTTGCGTTGCCGCGCACCAGAACTAGTCGGGGAGCATGGCAGGTAAGGCGGCGGAGAGCGAGCATGGCCGTCGAGGGAAACGGTGGTCGGGACGAGACGCGGTCTCCTGGGCGCGCTTGCAGAAATTCGGGAAGAGCGCCCAAGAACGTGGCGGAAGCGCCTGCGTCCATTTCGAACGCGTCCAAGTTCCAGACATTCATTATTTCGGCCACCGTGACCATGAACCCGGAAGCACAAGCACCGTCTCCCCCGCAAACCAAATTTTCCAGGCCCGACAGCCTGGTGTTCTTCCTGCATGCTAATGACGAAGATGGGACTATAGACGGCAGATATCCCAAGGTCAACAAGCTGGACAAACGCCTCAAGCACTATGCCCCTGTCCTCGACAGCCTTGCCCGCCTCTTAGTCAACCAGCCCGGGAAGCAGGTGTACGCTGTTGCGATCGTCCCTCCCTCACTCGAAGAACCCAATGCGCTCGTTCTTGTTGGTGAGGATGCTCAACGGGTGCCGAAGGACGTCGTCTCCCACCTCGAGTATCTTCTCAAGGCCGTCTGTGCTGCTGGTGCAACAGTCCGTAAATCACCTCCTCTCAGCCAGATAATCCCTACATACATCCCGGAGAATACCGAATACCCCCTGCTGAAGCAACTGCTCGCCATGGAAGTCGCAGTATACCGCCATTCCTGGGTCAAGAGACGCTCAGAGAAGTATGGTTGGAGCAAGGCGTTCCTCGACGTCTGCGCTGCTATCCAATTGCCCTCGCCTCCGCAATCGATACCGCTGGAAGCGTTCGCCATCTTACAAGAGCTGCAAGGGCCTGAAGGTGATCGCGACTCCATCCTCTTGGCCTTCAGGACTGCCTCGTCGGCCCTGACGGACATGTTGGACGCTTTGAATGGAGACTGTGACGACGCAAACATCCACCGATTGCGGCTCGCTATGGAAGGTCTGGACGTTTCCGTGAATAGTCTGCGGCGACTGCTACCGGGTGTATTGGAGAAGTGTCGGTCGTACATACGTCGTAGGTCCGCTTTCCTCACACTGGCGTTTATATCTCATATCTCGCTTCTTCAGTTGTTCAAAGAAACCTGAACCAGAAACTAGATTTCGAGCGCTGGATCCAGAAGCTGTTGTCCACACGCCGAGACTTCGGCCAACTGTTGGCGCTCGTCCGCTCTCCCACTCTCGACCATGTCCTTGGTGCAGGCTTCGAGATCAAGGTCATTACGCCAGCCCCCGTACCGCCTGTGCTGTGGGAGGTCAGCATGGACAGCCTCCAGTGGGCTTTGGGCGCAGATATCACTATCACGGTGGAAGAGCAGGATATGAGGAAGTTTGTAGATCAGGTTGTGGGTAAGGTGGGCTGTGCAGGTACGTCGTCAATGTGTTCACGTCAGTCATTCTCACCCACCATGGTGGTCTATGTCAGTCATGAAGAGCGATTATATTCACTGCGAATGCGCCATCCTAGTGGAACTTCTCAAGATCTCTCGTACCCGCCGCATCATCCCATATGTCGGTGTTTCCAAACTATCATGTGCTTTGTGCCACGCCTACTTCGCGGCGTACGGCGAGGCTACGAAAAGCAACATTTCAACACAGGGTACTCATGGCCAAATGGTGGGGTGGCGATGCCCTACGCTCGAGCACGATCTGGCACTTGACAAGCGGGTCCGCGGGGTCTTAACAGTGGCTTTGTCCCAGTCACTTGGCAGGGCAGTAAGCGGCGTGACCGCACCACGTCGACGCTCGGTGTCTTCACAAAGCACCACAGCCTCATCTGATCCTCCTCATGTCCCGCAACGAATGAGAACACTCCGTACGTTGGTGTTTGGTGCTCATCATTGACTGGTGGTATTCAACTTTCATTGCAGAAGAATATATCGGGCTGTACGAGGGAGAAGCCAGCTCTTCTTGAGGCAGTTGTGAGTAAAACGTAATTCCCCGCGCAATCTGTTTGTGTGATCACTCCCCCAGGAGTTGGATAGATGGTTGAGATAGATACTTCTGGGGCCGGTACTATTTCTGGAAGTAGTCATCACATTCTCTATGTATGTATCGACAAGCAAGTGCTTTAGTAAGACTCCGTGTATGTAGAAGACGGTAAAAACAAGACTGCTGCCCCAGTGAGGCTCGAACTCACGACCTTCCGATAGACAACCAATGTAACAGTCGGACGCTGTAACCAACTCAGCCATGGGGCAGATGCTAAAGGAGAAGCAATAAGACATTTTGGCTCTGTCAAGCTCACACCGGCCTCAACTGCCTTAAGTTCTGGTTGACTTGATGTCGTTGTATCCTCAGGTTTGATGTTCATTGTATATCGACGGACTACTGTACTAGATCTTGAGCCTCCACGAACGAAGAGCGAAGGCATGGTGCCGCATCGAATTTGACCTCTGCTAGCACCAAAGGCAACCGTTGCTGCCACAACGTCGGGCTCATGCCTCAAGTCGTCCTTGAAACTGTTCCGCTCGGCCACCGTCAGCCACATGAACATGCGCCGGCTACCCGCTCAAATATTGTACAGCCTACTGACATGATCAGTGGCCATACGGCCTCGTTTTCAAAGTATCGCATGCGTGTGGTTGCGCAAATGGAGGGGTAACGTTCAGGTGGGTACTTCTTCACAGTCAGGCTGGGCCAAGAGAAGTGATATACTTACCCAAGTTACCCTTGTGCTTGATGTCCTTGCAAGGGTGCGCTCACGGCCAGCGGCCCAGGGCGGATCAGGCTTAGCAAACGCCAGCGGCAAGTGCTTCGCCTTCGAATGATGCAGTTGATCCGGCCCTGCATGAGGACCCATATGTACTTATCCCAGTCTTCCCAGACTTCCCCCGGTCGAAGAGGTATATATACCCAGTCCCTCGCCGCATGGGCAACTCCAAGCCGGCACTGACCTTCATGTCCTCGTTCAGTTTCAGACGCCTGGGCGGCCTGGGCGCGGTAGCCCTCGCGTTCGCTGCGCATGTCGATGCACTGGCGCCCTCCAACCCGCAATATGTGAAGCTGGGAGCAAAAACCGGATCGGCACTCAACAAACGACAGGGCGTGACGTTCCCTCAATACAACTTCACGCAACCTCTTGACCACTTCTCCGACACTGGTTTCACCTTCCAGCAGCGGTACTGGCTTAGTGATCGTCACTACAAGCCCGGTGGACCAGTGATAGTCTTCGAGGCTGGTGAAGGCCCCGGTGACGAACGCATGCCCATATTGGACACCGGCATTATCGACATTCTCGCGAACGCGACGAATGGCCTAGGTATCGTCCTGGAACACAGATACTACGGTAGTATTCTTGACACACCGTACGGAGTCCGACTGACACAGAGCTCCTCCAGGCGCATCTGTACCGGTCCAGAACTTCACGACGGACTCGCTGAGGTATGCCCTGTCCAACATCCATGTCCTTGTGACACTCGGCGATAAGAGCACTCCTGACATCACGGCTCCTGCACAGGTGGTTGAACAATGAGCAAGCGGCCGCAGACTCCGCCAACTTCATTGCGAACGTAACGTTCCCAAACATCGCTGCAGACCTCACGGCACCGGGTACGCCGTGGATCTACTACGGGGTCAGTAAACCCGTCTTTCCTCCACATGCGCTCGCTTGGCGGGCAAAAATATCTCTTCTCCTGCACATGTGTTGTGCGCTTCGCACCTTCCTCGAAGGAAGAAAGCTGACAATCATCCCGCAGGGATCGTACGGCGGCGCGCGGGCCGCACACATGCGCGTGCTCTACCCGGACATTGTCTTCGGCGCGATCTCCTCCAGCGGCGTGACGCACGCCACGGTGGTCGACTGGCGCTATTTCGATATCATCCGGCAGTATGCCCCTACGGAGTGCATCGCACAAGTGCAGAAGACAGTATACGAGTTCGATGCATTGATCGCGAAGAACAAGACACACGACGCAATCAAGGCCGTCTTCGGGCTTTCGGGCGTGTCGTACGACCCTGACGTCGCGTCTCTTCTCTCGGTACGTGGGGCTGCGATCTGCCCAAAGTAGCGTCGGCTTAAGGTCACCTGAGAGCGTGATACTGACTGGCTCTGCATGTACAGGCACCCTTGGGCGGCTGGCAGAACACGAACTGGGATCCCGCGGTCAACAGCAATGGTTTCGCCCGATTCTGTGCGGCTTTGGGAACGCCCGATAACGCGACGGTGCATACCGTACAGGGCATCACTGTTTCCAATGCTACGTTCAACTACGCAAAGTATATAAACGCGGTAAGCCGCGGGACGGCAACTTGGCAACTATATTGGCGCATGCTCATAGTTCCTCTCCGCTGCAGACTTACTCCTCCAGCTGCCCCATCGAGGAACAGGACGAGGTCTGTGTCCCATCACCAGATAATCATTGAGTGCTCACGGCGAATATCATCTCCGCAGTGTTTCGGCACGATCACGAACAAGGAGTTCTACGAACAGACCGACCTGTCCCAGACGTGGCGTCTCTGGAACTTCCAAGTGTGCACGCAATGGGGCTTCCTGATGGTGCGACATCTCTTCAGCATCATGCGTCCTCGGGCCTCGTCCCACTGAGACCTTCCTCTCCCCTCTTGACAGACGCCGCCACCTGACCCGAAGATCCCACGTATCATCTCCAACCTCCTCACAAAAGACTATGGCGAACTCACCTGCACTCTCGTACGTGATGTCGCGGTCAGGAAATCATGTTCCAAAGTAAACTGCTGATGTTCCCACCATACTAGTCATACCCTCCCGGCGAGCACTTCACCGTCCCCCCGGAGCCTAACGTCGAGGATGTGAACAAGCTCGGTGGGTACAACATTGCAGCTGACCGCCTCGCGATCATCGACGGCCAAGGTGTGTGGTCTACTTTCTATACATCTCTTGCTCGTACCTAACATGTTTTTGAAGACGACCCATGGAGGGGCGACACGCCCCACAGCCCGGACCCTGCAGCGCATCCTCGCAAGGACACGACCATCCGTCCATTCAAGCTCATTCCCACAGCTGTGCACCACTGGGATGAGAACGGCCTGGCGGATCCTAGTGCCGAGCCTGCTTTCATTCAGACCATCCACCACCAGGAGATCGCGTTCGTCAAGGCTTGGTTGAAGGACTTCAAGCCACCATCGCAGTAAAGCGATGTCATTGGGCCCGCTAGCATAGTACATAACCACGGATGCATTGTCATTAGGATATCATCAAACACGATTGCATGAGTATTGGTACGGATATCAACAGTACTCGTCATGGCTGTCAGAACACGATATCGGATACATGTGAATAAGAATACAAGGGCATCAAGAGGAGAGCCATCACGAGTGAGCGAACGAGCAACGTCAGAAAAGAGCCCACAAAAGTCTGGTATCGAAGCGGCGCCTGGCCAGTGCTCTAGTCAAAGTCTTCGAAATTCGACCCGTTCTCATCCTCATCTCCAGACGAAATCTCAACATACTTCGACACCGTCCTCGCCACCGCCGCACGTCTCGGGGCCTCTGCACGCCTGGGCGGAGGAGGAGGAGGGACACTGTTGTCGTCGTCATCATCGAAGTCGTCCTCTGATACAACGGCCTTCTTCGCAGGTTTCTTCGCCGGTGCTGCTCTGCCCTTCGGAGCCTGGCCGTTCGACGCCTTGCGTACTGCGGGGGCCTTCTTCGCAGGGGGCGCGCCCTTCCCGATGAAGTCGGTGATAGCTGCCTGCTTGCCGTTCTTCTTGGGTGCGTCGACCTCCATGATGTCGTCGTCATCGTCCACAGGAGAAGGTTTCTTCTTCTTCGCTGCGGGCTTAGGGGGCTTGTCGTCATCACTATCTTCAAGATCGTTGTCGAGACTGTGATAGACGGTATGAGCGACGGGGTCTCGGAGACACACAATCCAACTGACCTCTTCCGCTTGCCCGCCGATCCGTTCATGGCCTTGGCCTTTCCCTTGTCTTTCGATGAGGGTGGTGACTCGAACTCGGAATCCGAGCCAGCGGCCTTAGCAGCAGCCTTCTTCTTGGGCGCAGGCTTCCGAGGAGCAGGAGCGTCCACCATCTCTATGTCGGAGTCATCCTCTACCTTCGTCACGGCCTTCTTCGCAGGTGCTCGCTTCTTGGGCGGAGGCGGTAAGTCATCATCGCTCTCGTCCTTGACCTTCTTGATCGTGACGTTCGAGCCTGACGGGACGGCAGATGCAGGCTTCTTCGCCTCAGAAGCTTTCCTGGCCTTCGGCGCAGGCTTCGTCGGGTTGAAGTCGTCATCCGAATCCTCCGCCTTCACCTTCTTGGGCTTGAAACCCAGCTTCCCCTGCTGCTTCTTCTTGCCTTTCTTGGCGCCCTGCTGGCCCTCCGCAGCACAGAGCTTGGCTTCCCAGTCCTCGCACGTTTGCTACAGGTCCCCTATTACACCCATATCTACGGATAGTATGCGGTGTAACTCACCTTCCACTGCGCGAGGAATGCGTCCAGGTCGGTCTGCCAGATCTCGATAGGCGAGAGAGCAAGAAGAACAAGCAGTTCTTGCTCCTTCTCCTTCGCTTGCTGGAGGAGCTTCTCGATCTGTAGAGACGCATGAATGGGGCATGAACACAGGCATGGGCTCAGAAGGCCAACCTTTTCCTTTGTCAAGCTCCAGATGGCCATGCCGAGGAGGTAATCGTAGTCGGTGACATTGCCAGTCGGGCTCTCACCGCCGCTCCCACTCTCGTCGTCGTCGTCCTCCTCGACGACTTCCTCGGTCTCGCCAGCCGCCTTCGCCTTGGCGACCTTCGGGAAGGGACGGAACTGCTTCTTGCGCAGCTCGGCAACGATGTCCACCTTGCGACGGTTGTTGACGATAAGCTCCTTGTCCACAATCATCTTGATGAAGCGCGCCTGGTTGTTCAGCTTGTCGAGCTGGTTCTGCAGGTCGTTTGCCAGGTAGTCCTGTCCATCGTCGGTGAGCATTTACACGAGGCGTCACGTGCGGGATAGAGGGGCATACCTTGCGCTTCTGGTAGTAGGCAAGACGCTTGGGGTAGAAGTCCTCGATGATCTCCTCCGCCGAGTTGTACTTCTTGATCTTGCCGTCAAAGTCGAAGCAGACCATGTTGCCCGTGTTGATCTTGGTCGAGAGTTTGAAGAACTCGTGGAAGCCCTGCTTCTCTGCCTTCTCCATCTCCTTCTCGGACATCGTGATGACGAAGTGGACATTCATGTTGTTGTGGTACTCTTTGTAGTCCTGCACACGATCATTCAGCCAGCTACCC